GACGCGAATTTGACGATGACTGGGCGGCATTTGTTCTGACAGACCGTGCCGATTCTATGGGCCCGAACAATAGCTTCGTCCGATACTTGTAGATTAAGGGACTGTCTAAATATGTTCAGAATTGTTTGTTCTGTCTGTGCCCATGTTTCAGATATTGTGTCGGCCATCCCGAAAAAAACCAAATTATCACGGCGTGAACGATCTTCAGCATCATCTAGGCGTGTTCTTAGTACTAGATTCTCTTTTTGCACTTCTTCCGCCAAGCTTCGCGCTGTGGTTACTTCAAGCTGAAGATTAGGGACTGCAGCAGTTTTATTTTCAACCTCGTTCAGTCTCGTTTTTATTTCCGTTATGGCCCCCTTGATAGATTCTTGACTTTGTTTAACTTCGTTAAGTGTAGCAACTATACCCGATTGAGCCTGATCCATCCTAAGGGAGCGCTCGTTAACGGCTGTCAGCATTGAGTGCATCTCGTTAAACAGTTTAAGTTGGGCCTCATTCATCGGTCCGGGATTAGATTCCACGTCTCCGGAAGTTTTTAGTAGAAGGTACACCACATCAACTGAGTCACAAACAGTTTTTTTAAACACTTGTGAGCACGGAAATAGCAATAACCATATATCGCTTGTTTTTTTAGCGTATAACGAGGGAGGTGGACCAACCTGTACAAGCAAGATGACAAAATGAGTGGTCCGCATGGTTCGGCTGATCCCGTGCTCACTCAAGGGCTGAAGAAGTTCCAAGCTACTTATATGGGCGTTTGTAGGCGGCGCAGATGACAGTGTCGCTGACGATACTAGGTAGATGTCGAGGGAACAAGGAGAGATTGCTTGCAGATTATCCCACAGATAGGTGGCAGCCTGCCGATGTCGAGGCGATCCAGCACGATGATCCGAGGAACCGCTCACGAGAACGGCGGCGTCACGGCTGGGCAGGGACTCAGGCACCGGAAACTGGAGGGCCGAAATCTGTACAAGCAAGATGACAAAATGAGTGGTCCGCATGGTTCGTCTGATCCCGTGCTCACTCCAATTATGCATTGCTTAACAACTCAGACTGCGTTTATGGGTTTAAACATATGTTTCGGCACCGTCATTCGCTGAGCTGCCTCCGTAAGTTGCGCTGATTGGCTCTCCGAGTGTTGTGCGAGAAAGTAGACACAGACCTTTCTTAGAGTGCAGTGACTGTATTTGAATGCGGCTCGTAGATTGGACCCGAGCATTGCGTCCGCACTCGATTTCGGCTCGTGGTAATCGATAGCTCGAGAGGCATTCGGGTAGTCACCCGTGTCTAATCGCTGCAGTGACGTCAGTATCCGAACCATAACAATGTACGTCTGGAACTCCGCGCGTGTCCTGTGCCTTGCCAACCCCAGCGCGTGGCTACGATCAACATTGGCGGAATCGGCTCCAGATCGCGTGGCCGCTTGTTCTGGCGGCGAGTTGAGAAGGTGAACGCTGCTCGTTTTTCTTTTTTCTTTTTTTTTTCTTTTGTGGCTTCGATATTGTGTAATGAAAACTGAACGCGTGTTTCATAGGTCACTAACACTGATCTCAATGACAATTGCTGGATCGCGTTTGCCCGCTCCTCGAATGCGGCCACTGGCGGCCATCTTTTTGGTAGAGTTATATTACCTCTAGCCAAGGTACAGTTGCTGCAGCCACTATCATCCATCCATGGCAGACAGCGTTGTGGCAGTTGTGGTGGAGGCTACCATCAAAATAGCGAGCGGGATATTTTCTGCTTGATTGAAATTGTTTGACAAAACATATTTTTGAAACTTGGCGTAAACGGTAGCCCGATCTTTGAGGACACGGTGAAAGTTTCACGATATCGCAGCACTAGGCAAAAAGCAGCACAGCACGCATCGAAAGTCGCATCGAAAGAAGCATCGGAAGCAGACGCCGATACGGAGCCTGCTTTCGATGCTAGCTGCGCTGCTTTCCTCCGGTGCTGCGCTTTCGTAGAACTTTCGCCAGGTCCTCGAAGATGAGGCTTCCGTTCACGCCGGATTTCAAGAATCTGCTTCGTCGAAAAACTTCAATCAAGCACGGAATACCACCCACCCTACAGTGTACTAGATCTACGACTATTTTATGGCAGCCTGCCACCATTGCGCTGTCCGCCATATTACTATGATAGCTAGAGATAATAAAACTCTACCAAAAAGATGGCCGACCGTGGCCATATTCCCGTCCATAGGCGGAGCTGCAGTGGTCAAACGCGATCCAGCAAATAGACATAGAGATCAGTGGTCACTAACGTCAGGAATTCGTTCTAAGCGGTATTTGTTCAAAGCATGCAAATCCTTGCATCCCACCTTTAAATATACGTATTATGCTAGTTTAGTATTGATGAGTTGGGGCATAAAAAATCGCACAATAAGAATTCTTCCTTTCGAGTTCGAGACTGAAGGTCTACGGCGACCTTCTTGAATGTATAAAATATTCGGGTGTGCGTGTATATTTTAAGTGCTCGTAAATACACACGAGTATGTCGCTCGGAAACTATACTACAACAACCTTCGTGGACGTCTTAGAATAAAGCCTCGTAGACACGGAGAGATTATAAAACGAGATACGAAGATCAATTTTTTAAATGAAAGTTTTCTTAAAAACTAACAACTTTTTTATTCGTGAAGTCGCCTCGTTAATATGAACCCCGTTAATATGGATACGCCGCTATATAGACATCACTTTCGGGGACAAACTTGGAAAATGCATGCATTTTTGTCTGATTATTATGGACAACTCACATTATGGGGAACTTTTTACGGGAACGGAGGTGTCCACATTAACGAGACATCACTGCATATGACTAAAATTTGGTTTTAGCACTTGTAGTGTGCCTGCTAACTTCTGTAAGACGTATTTTGTACGATGTGTGACTGTCTTTTGTAGCAGTGCGACATGGCAGTCTCGGACATCAGACACAATTACAAAACCTTTTTTTACTAGTAAAGTCGAGTCATACCCTCCTCTATACTCCCAAAGCCTGGCAGTTCGACGACGGAGACAAAGAGTGCCCGGTCGCAGATTTGGAGCGCGAGGATCTGGTAGCAGAGAGCATTTCTCGGGAAACCTGGTATTCAGCGCACAGCTTTTGCAGCGGCGAGGACCCAAAACATGGTTTTCAAACCCGACGAGAAAAGAAGCGTTAGCGCGAGGAACGCGAGGAGCACGTGCGGACATTCCGTCGCTCGGGAGAAGTGTGCTTCAGCGTCTCGCCGCAGCGGGGCGCCCGTCACGTGGCTCTCCTCTCATCCGTTGTCTGCCGCTCTACCTTTTCATTTTCGGCGGCCGCTTTTCGTGGTGATCTGCCAGGCTTTGTCAGTATATAGAGGAGGCTATGGTCGAGTATACAGGGGATCTCGGTATACAGCCTTCCCAAGATGGTTTGCACCGGCATGACCTGGTCGTGGCCATTTAATCAGGTTGCAGTATAAGGCCGCGGCCCCACTGCCAATACATCGTCCAAAAGACAGTCGGTAGACACTGCCTCAGGCACGTTTCTTTTCTGTACGACGGTCCTGCCATGTTGGTCGTACGAAATCTGTCTTTCAACATGTTTAAAGCGTACAACATATATGTATGAAACTTTCCAACATGCTATAGGTATAGTGTGGCTCTGCCAACCTAAGGCCATTTGAACCCCTATGGTCACTGGATGAGTACATTTCCTTCTATAAATAGAATTCCCGTTCAGCTTCCAACGGCCGAGTGATACACCAAAATTGAACGATGGGGGTGGTTTTCTCGTCGTCCGCTGGCGGCAGCTCGGCCGCCTTATGTTTCTCTCGTGCCGTGTCCGTTGCCTGGAGACGGAGAGGCACTTGTCGTCGGGGACATCGGCCCGGCCGGACCGCGAACGTGAGTACCGCTCGCCCATTTGTCTCGTGCCGCAGACCGAAAAACGCGTCGTAGAATAATATGTCTTTTGTCAAAATAAGTCGTCTGCTTCGCAAACGTTTGTGAGATTAGCTGTCGAAGGAGTCACTCGGCAAGTGAGACGTTTGTTTCTGAATTTGGTGCGGGAGGCACACGGATTCGTAAGGGTGCACATGGACAAAGGAATTCACGCATCGCGCTTTGAACACAGTCGTGAGGCAGAGAGCGACGTCGAAGCGGATCGAAACGCCTGTCGTTAACGTCTTTGCGTGTCACTTCGCGTCAACAGAGTAGATGTATCGAAGAAGTGTGGTTGGTCTTGAAATGTGATGGGCTTTGTGTCTCCACTGAAAGGAGAATACGGGGGGGGGGGGGGGGGGGGGCAAGTGCTTTCGCCGGTAGACTTTCAGTAGTATGACAAAAAAATGTCAAATTTACGGCGATGTACACTATGCATGAAGGGAGCACACGTTCGAGCTCATTGACCAAACGAAACCATCGGCAGGCGCGCCAATAGCAAGTAAAGTTTCGAAGAGGGGGGTTGCTGAAGTGCCTCTGGTATTTTTATTGTCGAAAATAACTTCGTTGAAACAAACTAACGTAGTTTCTTAATTATTTTTTTAATCTTTTTAAAGAAGAGACTTAGAAGTGTCTAGCTTGTGGAGAAAAAAAAAAAGGGGGGGGGGGGGGTAGTGGTTATTTATGGTGAAAATTGTGCACGCGTTTCAATAGCTCTCCAGCGATCAGTTGGAACAAAGACGAACTGATCACTAGAGTGTGATGTAAGTGTAAGTAATAAATAACAATAAACCAAAATTACACCAAGTACTTTCAATTGTAACTTTGCAATAAATTTGCTACGCCAATAAAATTTTATTTTTATTATTATTATTATTATTATTATTGTTATTATTATTATTACTAGATACCGAATGAGATGCGAGATCTCATTCGGTATCTAGTGTAGAAGCGTCGCAAGCTACGAGTGGGGGTGCTACTGCTCTAGATGAGGTGAACAAGAAGCTAGACATGTTGTTGTCTATTAAGGCAAGCGTCGAAAAGCTGCTTCCATTACCAGCCAAGGTAGATGAACTGTTGTCCCTAAAGCCTGCAATGGCAGAGCTTAAAGTTCAGGTTAACGAACTCCAGGCCTCGGTTGATTTCTGTTCCTCTCAGTATGACACAGTATTACAAACGGTCACGAACAACGAAGCAAGAATCGAACAACTTGGTGGCGAGCTTGCGGCTACCAAGGAAGTTGTTCTAGAGCAGTCGAACACCATCCAACAACTGCAGAGCGACTTAAATGATATGCAGACTTTGCTGTGCAAGTCAACTTTAGAAATTAGCGGCATACCGTTTAGCCAAAACGAAAATTTGGGTCTCGTTGTCAATAACCTTGCAGAGAGACTTGATCTGCCACCCTTGCAGCAAGCGGATGTCAGTGAACTATGTCGCCTGTCGTCTAAGAAGGGTTCCACCGCTCCCATCCTGGTTAGATTCGCGTCCACAGACGTTAGGGATAGATGGATGGCCTGCCGTAGCCGGCTGAGAGCACTGCCCTCCCCTGACGCTCTCTCCAAGGTCTTCTTTAACGAGCACTTGTCTCGAGTAGGCAGAGAGCTGTTCTGGAAGGCGAGGGTGAAGGGGAAGGCCAATAGCTACAAGTTTGTTTGGGTGAAGTATGGAAAAATTTACGCTAAGAAATCCGAAAACATGGACTCAATTCGAATCAACTCTGTTCAGGATCTAGAGAAAATCTGCTAGACTCTATTCAGGATCCGGATAAAATCTGCCAATTTATGGCTGTATCTTTCGAAAAGTGTGATAATTTCGCAGAATTTAAAAGGCTCCTTGTTACTCCTTTCCGAGCGTTTTCAGTTGTCCACGTTAATATCAGGAGCTTAAGGAAACACTGGGAACTTTTCAAGGTACTGGTTAATGAAGTGTTGTCTCGTATTGACGTGTTCGTGTTAACGGAGTCTAACGTCCCAGAAGAACTCAGGGATCTGTTTCAGCTGGCCGGATATAGCCCCTTTTGGTACTCCCGTCCGTTTTCGTTGGGAGGGGGAATTGTTGTTTATGTTAAAAGTGAGTGGTCGGTAACGAGACTAGATGTCTCGCTTAGTTATGCAGAATGTATTTGCTTAAAAATAGGGAACACTTCGCATTCACTAGGGCTCTTTGCCTGCTATAGACCTCCTTCTATGAGTATCAGGCAATTTCTTCAAGAGCTTACGGCGGTCCTGACGGAGAGCTGGAGTCAGGGTTTATTTTTTATCGTAGGGGATATCAACATAGATCTGTTAAAGGATCATAAAACCGAGGTTTGTGACTACCTAAATACTCTAGCTACCGCGGGTCTTGAAAGTGCTGTCAGCACACCTACCAGAGAAGAAGTGGTGGCCGGTAGGCTGGTGTTTTCCTGTATTGACCATATCATGCTCAGAACTCTAGACGCAACGGTGACATCGGCGGTAATTTCCGAAAAGCTGGCTGACCATTACTTTGTCGGGTGCCAACTAGTCTGGCAGGATGTTAAGGAAAGTCCGGTTGCCGATCGGCAGACAGTTCAAATTACTGATAACAAGATTTTGGACAGTCTGGTTTCATCCTATGATTGGAGCTCTCTTCTCGAATCAGCTTCGTCTTCGAATGTTTACTTTAAATTCGTGGAGGTGCATAACTCTTTTAAGGTTAGAGCTCAGAGAACAGTAACAGTTAAAAAACGAAGAACAGACCGGGTTTGGTTAAGCACAGACATCTTGATCGCAATCACAAAGAAGGAAAGGTTATGGGCGCGCTGTAAGCGAGCGCCGAGTAATGACGTCCTGCGTGCTGAATTCCGTGCGGCTAGAAACAGAGTAAACGCCATGGTTCGCTCTGCTAAGCGAATTCATTTTCATACGCAATTTTCCGAAAACCGTTTCAATATTGCAAAGACTTGGTCACTTGTCAATGAGCTCCGAGGCCACCATTGCCAACGCTCACTCGATGAGGTCTTGCTCAAGAATTTCGGGGACAACAACATAGAGACAGTTAAAAATTTTAGCAATTTCTTCGCTACTCCGTCTGAGCAATCTACGGTTGACTGCGTTCAGAATGTAACCTTAAAAGAGATAGTCAGCGCCTCCGCCTTCCTTTATGACATAGACGAAGAAGGTTTACGGTCGGCCTTGTTTAGTATTAAGAGGTCTAGATCACCTGGCGTTGACGATATTAGTGTAGGTTTCCTTCAAAGGAATTTCGAGTCTTTAAAGTGTGTACTTCTTTATATGATCAACGGCTTCATTCAGCGTCGTGCGGTTCCGGAAGTTTTAAAAACTGCTATTGTTAGGCCAGTGCTAAAGGGTGGCAAACCAACTGTAATTGGTAATTACCGCCCCATATCTATTCTGCCTGTTGTAGGACATTTATTAGAGAAGCATCTTGTTTCGATGATGACTAGTTTTTTAGACAAGTACCCAATTGTACCGGAGACGCAATATGGTTTTGTGCCAGGTAGAGGCACGCAATTGTTGTTAGATGACGTTGCCGATTATATAAACTCCGCTTTTGATGATAACATGTTTTGCTGCGCTCTTTTCTTGGATGTGTCAAAGGCCTTCGACACCGTGAACCACTCCGTCCTGCTGCGTAAGCTTTTCAAGGCGGGTTTTAGGGGGCCTTTTTTTTATATGTTGTCTAATCTGCTTTCCGGTCGCTCGCAGCGTGTGCGGGTGGGGCACGAGTTGAGCGCCGTGCGCTATCTGAAAGTAGGCGTTCCTCAAGGCTCGTTGTTGTCACCTTTGTTATTTAATATCTACGTCAGCGATCTTCCCTCCGCCATCGAGAGTTGTACCTGCTACCAGTATGCTGACGACACTCTGCTGATATCTCGGCATATCGATTTTGCGAGAGCCCTAGACATTTTACAAGCCAATGCTAATAAAGCAATGGATTGGTACTCTGCAAATCTTTTAAAGGTGAATGTGGCTAAAACAAAATTGATGTGTTTTCGAAATCCGCTGAAACACGGTTTCGTAGAAATGCCGTTTTTCCTTCATGGTATAATGTGCGACCCCTGTACTTGTGTCCCGGTTAAGTGGGTGGAGACCACTAAGTACATGGGAATTTTTTTTGACCACGACATGTCTTGGAATAATCAGTTGGCATATATATGTAGAGTGTTACGGAAAGTGGCCTGTATGCTTTATAATATTAGAATCTTTGTTCCTTTTCATGTTCGAAAAATTTTGGTCTATGCCCTGGCATACAGTGTACTTAGGTACGGGATTACGGTGTTTGCGCACAGTAGTGGACAGTGGCATGCTAAAGTGAACTCCTTGTTGAAAAGTGTTTTGAAAAGTGTGGCGTACAATTCAATTTTCACAGACAGCACGAACATTTTCAGTGACCTTGAGATGCCAAATTTTTTTTCTCTACTTCGACAAACAGTCATACTTCGCTATTTTTGGACGAATCAGTTTAAGATTTTGCACGAGCCGTCTCGCACGCTAAGGAAAACAACCCGTTTTATGCGGCCTCGTTGCTTTACGAGGTATGGGATGAGAACCCGTGATTACTATGTTCCGGATATTTTCAATGATCTTCCTGAATGTGTTTTCTCTTTCGACTCTAAAACTAAGGTTAAAAGGTGGCTTCGTTCTTTTATGGTCGATTCAGGGTAGGTAGTCATGGGTGTGTAGAAGACCATATGTTAGTTACGTAGGTTAGGTGTGTGTGTGTGTGTTTTTTCTCTTCTTTATTTTCTGTCTTTTTTTGTATTTTTTATTTTTTTATTTATTTTTTTTCGTTGCCTCTGCGCTTTTGTAACATGCTGATGGTGAGGTTGAAGGGTTCCAGTCCCACAAGCCATTTAGGCTTTGACTGACCCGATTTTTTACTGTAATGTGGATGTTGCAAATAAAATTATTATTATTATTATTATTATTATTATTATTATTATTATTATTATTATTATTATTATTATTATTATAAAACGAAGGTTGCTGTATTGTACGTTTCCAATAGCCGCTCGCACTGCGACAAAAAAAATTCACGTCTCTTTTTTTTTTTTTTTTTTGCTGCGAAGCATTAGCTTAGTTAATGGCTTGACAGTTTTTCTCCCTCGAAGGAATCTCTCAGGGGACATGGTGCGCAGCACATTGCGCACTCAAATCGTCATCCTCACGGGACCAGTGAATATGTGGCACAACGTTTCGCTGTACCACTCGTTTCGCTGTATGTGCCAGAAAACACGTCGCAGCTTGATCCCAGCTTGATACAAAACACTATCTGTGTCTTGAGATTTGACCAGCTCGCGCCGTGCTCATTTGTTCGTGTGTGTTTAGCATATTTGTTCGTACACAGCCTTTCGATCATCTCCAAAGCCACTTTAGTCTGTTTCCCATAGTGCAAGTTTTGGCAAATCGCAGTGCGATTTCCGCCGTTAAACAAAACAACGCTCGTGCTGCAAAAAAAAAAAAAAAAAAAAGAAAAAAAAAAGATCGTAGAAACCAGTTATAGTTCGTGTTGTGTCTACACGCTCTATGTCCCACGAGACTGAAAATCGCAGTGATTCTTTACAAACAGTCGCTTCATATACAAGAGCCTTTTGACGGTGCTCCCGCTGCTCGGAAGCCCAAATTCTTCAGCCTGAGCGGCACGGCGGCCATGCGGCGCCGGCGTTGCAAGCACCCGCGACAAAGGCGGAGGGACGAAAATGAGAATCGATGTTGCGAGGTCTATGTTTCCATCACCCGCGCGTAGGTAACATGAAGATGTAAATAGAGATTGAGCGACAAAAATGAGAAGCCGCTGTCGATTTCTGCCAACTCGTACAGAGAAACAACACGCGTTCTCTGCTAAAAATAAATGAATTGGAGGAAGAATATTGTCGAAGCCTCGGAAGAAACATAAGGGAACAAGAGTAGCTATAGGCCCTTCACTGGCCTTAAGTGTACGATCAGCCTTACCATGTGACTTTCTTTAACGGAAAACACAGTGCGGAAAGTAAAAATTACTGGACTCTCCAAGTTTTAGAAAATGATGCCGAAATCGCTGCTGTCGCTACGCTGGTTCTCGAGGAAATGCGTTAGCACTTGGCGCGGGGGGTTCCGACTCAGCGAAGTATGGGAATTCTAACCTCGCAACGGTCCGCATATTGTTGTGTTCGAAGAGCCAGTCTGTTCTCGCGGGCGCCGGAGGTTTCGGATACAGCCACCAAAGCTTCCCTCAATCGCCGCCCACGGTCCCCATACTGTTGTCTGGGAAGAGCCAATCTTTCTCCAGGATGTCGGCGGTTTCGCGCAAACAGCGTCGTCGCTGCGACTCGGATTTACATTGTGGCGTACGTTGCGCATATTGAGGAAACGCGGTGCCATCGTAAGAGGAATGCGCGTCAACAGCGGCAGGTCATTAGAATTGTGCGAGAAGGCTCTCTCACTCCTACGTACGAAGAAAAGTGAGCGTAACGAGCCAACACCTACTAGATAAAAAAAAAAGAAGCTAAGATCTGAATTCATTTGCGTCACCAAAAGAGACCACTGCAGAGTGCTGATTGGACCCGACTGCGGCTTCATCGTTCGGCTGGGACTCGGGTTACCGCTGATTGGATACGAGTTGCAGCCGAAAGCTGACGCAGCACTCGCGTCCAATCCCTGCGGCGGCCCTTTGCAGGTGACGCACGAAAATTCGGCACTTAGGCGATTTTTTATCTACATGGTGCTGGCGCGCCTCCGCTCCATGTCGACGCTGACTCCACCTATCTGTTCTCTCAGTATTGA